GCTGAAGGTAAGAGGCAGAGGTAAAATAATAGCTCAAGGTCTGCTCTTGTCATTATTGGCAACAACGATTCCCTGTCAGATGCATGTGTCTGTTGATGTGTGTGTTGGTTTAAGTTGGCAGGACATTGAGGAAAGAGAGAAGTGTTAACTGAGAACGTGGGCGTGTTAGCTGTGTGTGTGTGTGTGTGTGTGTGTGTGTGCGGCGACAGTTTCACACATATTTGGTTTCTGCAGATCCCCTTTTCAGCGGACTCGCACACACACACACACACACGCACACTCCCATACACACATGGACACACAGCTACTTTGTTCAGTATGTTCGCAGCTGAAAGCAGTGAGAATGTCTATCAGAGGTGTGCAGACGAAAAAGAGAGGAATGCTGTATGATTGAGAAATGTTCTTTGAAACCAGTCAGTAAAGCACAAATTTAAAACAAGGACATGTTTTTCTTCACTGCTAAGCCAAGGCAAAATACCTCTTCTACCATGGCACTATATCAGAGCTGAGTGGAATTATGTGTGTGCACAGTTAAAAGCCCGCAGCACATATTTTAAACACGGTGGGTTTAAATCCAATTTTGTTGTAAACTGTAGACTGCTTTCAGAGGCAGAAATTCCAGAAAAAAAGAGGCTTTGAAAGTGAATAGAGCTTCTGTATGTATTCTGTAGTTCAACAAAGTTAAACAAGGCCAAACAAGTGCCGTAGCATGTAAACCAAGGCTAAGCACTTCTGCAGTTCCAAAACTATGACAGAGAGCACTCACAGAGAGCACACAAAACTTCATAGGCAATACACTAAACTAACGCCCACAAAGTCACCAGCAGGACTGAACACAACACTCCAGTCATGGCACAATGAATGAATGATCTTGGTTTTTAATCTTACCTTTATTAAAAATAACTTACATATGACTGGTATTGTCATTCATTTTTCTGGAGGCCCAGACACACCCAACCGACATCAAAGAGCTAGTGGCGATGAAGGACGACTGTTGCATCACCTGTGTCTGGGCCAGAAAGTTGCAATTGAACACACTGCCAACATAACAGGCAAACAGCCAGCTAATATGTAGATTCTGCGCCTGCATGAAAGGATATAACTCTCCACACCAGCAGTCTGTATTCATCATTTAAATAGGTAAATTAAAAGACTAATAGGACGGATTCAAGATGCTAGTTAGCCAGGTAGCACGTTAACAACACAAACCCATGTTGAAAGAACACGTAATGACAAACAATTAGGAACTGTTTTTGATAAAGAGCTCATCTTTCCTATTCTTACAAAGTTTGTTTCGAACTCACTCCCTCATAACATGATTGTTTACTTTCCTCACTTCTGTTTCTCTTTTCATGCGCTGAGCTGCACTGTCAATCAGAGTGATTTCACTTAATGCAGGGTCAGGCGATAATTCAATATCCGCTAATTAATCCGCTAAAAAAAGATGACAAGGGTCGACAAGTACCAACTGTGCGGGACATACCGCAAAAACCAGTGTGACAGATGCTCACTGATGCTCGCTCGGCTTGCCTTGGTGTTTCAGGGCCCTTAACTGTTGCTGTGACAGTCACCTTCCCTTTTTAAATATTCACCTGATACTCTACTTTAAATGCCCGTCGCACTTTCAGGCACGCTTAGCAGTAAACTGCAGTGCCTCTGTGCTAACATAATACACAGTGTTATCATGCACATTAACAATCAAACCTAATATTGGATACCGGCGGATGACAGCTGCTTGTCTTGTCTCATCATAGATTGCAAACTAATCAAAGATCGTCATAATTAAACAGCTATAGCTGGTATTTTAAATGCTCCCACCTTGCTAATTAAACTTGAACATCATATTTACCGAGCGTCTGAATGATTGAGCCTTTTGGGAACAAAGATACACAGTTTAATTTCAGCAAAGCTCTACTCTTACAAAGAACCCTGTAGTGCTGCTGCTGTGCATGTGGTCATTTCTACAACCCATCAGGAGAATGTACACAAATCTGGATAGAATTTGAGTGGTTTAAAGAGTTGTAGATATGGAAATATGTTGCATAAAAAAGGCATAATGAGAAAGAAAATGGGAAGCTTACTATTCTGTCGTTAACAAAGGATGATGTTTTCTACCATAGCTGCAAAACATGGACAAGGTTACCCTTTCTGTATATATGCAGTTAGTAACAGAAGACATACGTACATTTTCCATACTCGCTGGTGATTGCAGGGGAAAGCTAAACACACGAATGAGGTGCTTTACATCTAAAAACACACACATTTCCAAACTCATCCTCAGTTTTTGGGTACAACATCCATTAACGTGTCATGTTATGTGATATTTAACATGGAGTGTTACGGCATAGTCGTTTGCCTCCTATTGTTTTTAGAGCTGCAACAATTAATCAATTAGCTGCCAGCTATTAAATTAATGGCAGACTAATTTGATAATTGATTGATATGGGTGATTATTTAAGAAAAAAAAGATAAATTTTCTCTTATTCTAACCCTAACCTTAACCCTGTGAAAACCTTCTGTTTTTTTACTCTTCTAAAAAAATAAACTGAATATCTTTAGGTTGTGGACAAACTAAGACACTTTAGGACGTCATCTTGGGCTTTAGAAAACACTGATCGACATTTTCCACCATTTTCTGACATTTCATAGACCAAACAACTAATTGATTAATCAAGAAAATAATCATCAGCAAAGAAAATAATTGTTAGTTGCAACCCTAATTGTTTAATATATGCTGGTATACTGGTTTTTAGATGCAGTATGTTCCCAGATACGCATGCAAACACACTATACACCCCAGAGTTACACTCATTGCTCTTTTAACCCATGCAGAGAGAGCAACCGGACAGCAAGATGTAAACTGACACACACACTGTGGGAGACAGAAAGTCATGGAGCTTTACACACAGCAGCAGCAGCAGTATTTGTTAGACATCAGTAGAATTAGATTTGTACGTCCAAGTTGAATTCATAAAAGAATAGTTTGCAGTAGAAAAATGCGTGTTGTCGTTCTGTACTTTGTGCCCTCTACATGTCCCAGCATTTTTCGCATTATGTCCGGAGGTAAATTGCTGTGACAAAGACTTAATTGAATTGAATGAGAGCGAACTGAATTGCAAGGAGAGAAGGGCCGGTTTAAAGAATGACGCTGAGGGGAATGCAATCCAGTGTATCTCTGAGGCTGTGAGTCACAGCCAACCATACAGCCGGCAGCCGAAGACAGTCGCTTAGTTTGATGTTAACTTGTTTCTCCTCCGGCGGCGGCTGTCACCTCTTGGTATCCCTCTGTAGCGGGAGCTCAGATCAGTGGGGTATCTGAGGGCCTGTCGTTCTGCTCTCCATCACAGGCGCCGCAGCTCGCTCTAGGACACAGGTAGCAAAGCTGCAACTGAATGTTAGGAGATTTATATTGCTGGCAGTGCTGGTGGCTTGCTCTTGAATAGCTTCAGTTTCTTATTGGTGGTGGATATGATACAAACATGTCGTATGTGTATCTTGAGCCCCTTTCCCACTGGACAAAAATCACACTAACATCCACTAACATGAGGCCTTTTTCTTTTGTGGGGAAGGCACTTGCTCTTGTAACAAATGACTCCGCAGTGGTCACGGGTACTTATCAGGTCTAGCTCGGATCTGCTTCGATCAGCAGTAATGGAAACATGACAGCAGGGTTTTAGCCCATTTTCTGGTGCGATGCAATGACGTGCTGCCACAAAACACCCTCTGTCTCTGTTCAAGCAGCGTTCCAACATTGTCCCAATTTTTTTGCTGGCACTGTGTTTGAGAGAGTCGGAATACGTAACAGATACATAAAGAAGCAACCACCGTACGGTTTACCAACCTGCGTTCTAGCATGTCTGTGACTTTGAACGTGAAACACCAGAAAAAAAAAGAAAGAAAGGCATACTCGTCTACTGGCAATGGGAAAGCAGTCTATCACCTATTCTTAGGGAGTTTCCCGTGTTTAAAAAACATATGTATACATGCTAACTTTGGTGGAAAAAGGGTATTGATTGGACCCTTTGGCGGGCTGGCCCTGGCCAGCGAGCCATATGTTTGACACCCCTGGTCCAGCCTATCTTTCCCTTTGCAAATCTAATGTGTCCAGCACCTCCAGTTATTAACTGGTCTTGAAACTGTGCAGGCTCTTATGTGTTTGTTTCCATGTTATGGTCAAACTGGGCTTTAGCCTGGAGCTGGGCCATAAATCACTATGATATTGTGATTAACGATTCATAGTCGTCTTGGGCTTGGTTATTTTAATCAGAGCTGAAACGATTAGATGATTACTTACAACTACTGTATACTATATGTAATACCGAAGCTTACTATGTGATGATTCAAATCACTACTATAAAACTATATATGGATGATTACTCTTTTCTTACTTTGGCCAATGTCAAGAAGGTCACATATCTGTGATCACTAACTACCAGTGACTTGAATCAGATGGCATTGTGGCTTTTCTTAGCCGCATCTCTCCGAGCCATTTTATTAACACAAGCCGTGCATCACTTGTAGGTCAATGAATCAGATCGCTAGCAGTCGCCAGCATGTTATTTCTATCAGCGATATTGCCAGTACAAGCCACATATCATTGGAAGTTGATTGTTTCAGCTAGCCATCAGGGACAAGTGGCGTCTCTCTGCATTAGAGCATCTTTCTGCTTTGGCTGGGCCAGGGGCGTCCAGCTCACACATGGTTGTCCCGAGGCAGTGGCGATGGGCTCAGATGATCAGCTGAAGGCCCTGATGGTTGAGTCAGAGGTGATCCTGACTGGCCTTGAGTGATGACTGCTGGAGCCCAGACTCCTGGTGGTTTGTTAATGAGCTGAGACACAGACACGCACAGAAAAACAGCGCACAGGAAAGGATCAAAAGTTTTACTGCATAAACCACAGAGAATACATGTTGCAGTACAAGTAATTAGTTTTGTTCATTCAAGTCAATAATCATTGATGCTATGAGGTGAACTAAATCTTATTGTGTTTCTCTCTACAGGGAGCTGTACGTTTGATGAGGGCTTCTCTCAGTGTGATTACCAGCAAGATCCCTATGATGACTTTGACTGGACGCACATCAACACCCAGGAAGTGCCATACGTCTCACCAGACCTGCCACAAGGTGACTTTCTTTCTCCTGTCTCTGTCATCCGCTTTTTCAACACCTCATTGTGGGGGAAAGTAACTGAGTACATTTACTCAAATACTGTTCTTAAGTACAGTTTTGATCTTTATTGTTTATCTACATTTCTCTGCAGAACCAACACTTAAATTTTTAACAAAAAAAGTACATTTTGAAAATACTTGTACACATGTACGCTTCTACTTAAAGGAGTAGTGTCTAGGATGTCGTGGAATTTAGCAGTGAGGTCCCAACTGAATACCCCTCCTGTAACCCCTCTCTGTCCAAGCATGTAGGAGAACCCACGGTGGTCTTCAGGGTGCGTTCACACCCCCAAATTCAAGCTACCACCTAAGAGTAAAAGCATGAAAGGCCCTCTTTAGAGCCAGTGTTTGGTTTGTCCATTCTGGGCTACATGACAGACACCATGAAAGAGACAGGCCCTCTTTGAATTTTCTTAGAGGCCAAACAGTGGAAATGCAACTCCTGAGTCTGTTACGTGATGCAATTGGGCCCAGAAAAAGACATCTGTAAATCAGTAGATGGCGTTTTTTGAGCGCCACAACTCCCACGAAATGGCTCATTTCACTATCAGAAGTTAATTGATTCGGTCCAGTAATATTTTGAAAGTCTAGAAGAGCTGCAAGATTAAATCATTTCATCACCATTCAAGTTAGCAGACCGCTAAACTGGAAGCAGCCGGCTCGGCTAGAGGAAGTCTCCATTGGGCTGGTTCTATAGGCCCATTGTTGCGGAAGCAGTGCCGCTCATCTGGTTAATTTCATATGGCAGACATAAGGCTTTTTGGCTTCATGTGCCAAACACCCACTCACCGGTAACTACTGATTAATTTTGAAGAACAAATGACATAAAATGCAATAGCTAATATTAGCCTTGGCTGCTCTGCGCTGCGCACAACTTGAGTCGTGTGGGAGCTAACTAGCAGCACTGCTGTGGCGATTACCACTGGTAATGGCGTCCTAGTGGGGGAATGGCATCTGGTGGCAGGATGACATTGCTGCGAAAACATGGTGGCCACCCTCCAGTCATCCCCCAGGTAGCCCCAGTGAATAAGCAGCTTCATTTTGAGCAGCAAAACCATTTTAGCATGGTTAACTACTTTAGCACCACTAGCTGTGCATACACTGCTAATGGTGCTAACGGAGCTAACACTGCTAAAGGGGGTTGCGGCTCAAGATTGAGCCGCTTACTCACCAGGGCGATCTGAGGGGAGACCGTAGGGTGGCCACCATGTTTTTATAGAAACTATGTTGGGTCAGGACACTGTTACATACAGTAATCACAGAATCAGCAGCGCCACAAGCTAACTCCCAGCAGACTCAGGTGGTGTGCAGTGCAGTGAACTGAAGAGCAGCAAAATTAACCCATAGACTGACGTGCGTTACTGGTCACAAAAAATTTCGGTGATTAACGTTTAATGGTCGTCATCCCTATAATGAATGTTACGTTCCATTTTAGCCATTAGGTCCCTCTAAATCCGACACATGGCTCCTGTAAGCAGGAGTTTGAATGCAGGACTACTTGTAATGGAGTATTTTTACAATGTTGGTATCTGAATACTTCGTTCACCTCTGACACTCCGTCCTCTTCCGTATCTCATCCACATTTCTTCCCTCTCTCCTCTTTTCTAAGACACCCTCTCCTCTCCTCTTTAATCAGTTGTTTTTTTTCTCCGTGGTGATGATGAAGGGGAAATTAAATCTTTCTGCCTCAGGGCTGAGGGTCTAATTAACAGAATATGAGGTCATTAATCAACGGCAGGGAACAGGGAAGGTTGCCTACTTTACAATCTTAAAAGCAAAATGTTATAACAATAACCAGCCATGCTATGTTGAGATAGTAACTGGCTTTACGAAATTAAAACCGCAGAGTATGAATGTTGACTGCTGTATGAACAATGGCGTTAACCACAGTGACAGTGAGGAAACCATGTTGAAATGTCACAACCACAAACATGTTTGAGTTCATATTTTTTATATCTTGCCCTCTATCTTCTCTTCTCCTCTCTGTTTCTTTCCTTTCCTCTAGACTCCTCTCATCTCCTCTTCTTTCTTGTCTTGTCTTGTCTTGTCTTGTCTCTGTTTGTCTCCTTTTACTCTCTTCCCTTGCCTCTTCTCTCATCTCCTCTCCTCTAGTCTCCTTTTGTCTCCTCTCTTTCCCTCTTCTCTCATCTCCTTTCCACTTCTTTCCTTTCCTCTCATATCCTCTTGTCTCCTCCTTCCCTGTCCGTAAGTCTTCTGTTGTCTCCTTTCCCCCCCCTCTCCTTTCCTCTTGTCCTGTCTCCTCCCTCTTCTCCCCTTTCCTCTCTTCCCCTTTCCTATCCTCTTGTCTCCCCTCCTTTCCTGTCTTCTAGTCTCCTTTTGTCTCCTTTCCTCTCCTCTGCTTTTGTTTCCTCTCTTCCCTTTTCCTTTCCTTTCCTTTCCTTTCCTTTCCTCTTGTTGCCTCTCCTTTCCTGGCCTCTGGTCTCATTTTGTCTCCTTTCTGCTCATTTCCCCTCTTTTCCTCACCTATAGATTCCTCCTTTCCTTTCCTTTCCTTTCCTTTCCTTTCCTTTCCTCCTCACCTTTCCTGTCCTCTCGTCTGTTTGTCTCCCTTTTTCTCATCTCCCCTCTTTTCCTCCCCTATAGTCTCCTTTCCTTTCTTATCCTCTTTTCTCATCTCCTTTCCTGTCCTCTAGTCTCCTTTGACTCGTTTCCTCTCCTATGCTCTCCTCTCTTCTCCTCTCCTCCTCTGTTGTGGGAGATTATGACTTTGTTACCATGACAATGTAATGCCGTTATTTATCTCTCATGCTTATCATCATGACAACACAGGCTTGCTGACATTTAGAGAAAGGTTCAGTTCAACGACAGCTCTTTACGACTTTCACACAAACACACAAAACACTCCCAAGGTGTGTGTGTGTGTGTGTGTACCTGCTGTCTGGTGGGTGCATGTGGTCTTGCTTATATTTAGGCCCAGTGGTACAGAGCCAAAGTCTAGCATTTAGTGATATTAATACCAAGTGGTGTCGCTGTACAGAGAGGCTGGGGTTGGCAGTTTGAAGAGGTTAAATACCTCGGCCGAAGAGCGGCGAAGTAATGCCTGACATTAGCATAACATTAACTCCTGTAGAAACTAGCGGGATGAGCAGGGGCACGAGGATGGCAGGGCAGGTTAATGGTGTAGAGATGTTTGTATGTTAGTTGCTGAATGTGATGGGGGTGGAGGTGTGGGGGGATTGGAACGTTGCCTAAAGGTAGAGGAGCATGAACTGACATTTGATGAGTTAATAATGCCAGCAGGGTGTGGGACCGGAGTGCTGTGGATAGAAAACGAGGTTGCTGGAGGGGATTACAGATACAGCACTTGGCTAGGTTTTGTGTTTGGAAGAAGTAGCAGGAAATGGGTGAGGGGTTGAGTTGGTAGCTTAAATGCCTTGCCCAGGGACACATTGGTAATGCCTATTATTAGAATTGTTGTTGTGTCAGGCCACCAGTAATTTAGAAGTACTCCGGTCTGGCTGCAGTCTCCCTGAGGGCATGGCATGATTGAGGGGATAGGCGGTAAACCTTTTGGGCTTTTGACCCTTAAACAAAGGGATACCCATTCCCTTTGTTTAAGGGGGGGGGGTAGTTAAGAGTATTTGACACCTGAAAGACCTTTGAGAGTACGTTCATTGTCTGATCATTAGTTCATGGTGTTATATATTGTCAAAAGTATTGGCAGAAGAGAAGGAGTCATCTTAGTGCTGTATGCAGAACAGTTTCAGTCATCAGATAATCAGCCAACAATTATACTTTTGTCCCTTCTAATCCACATTGGTTCGTCCCAGTTGCTAATCACCATTTGTGCTTAAGGCAGTGTTGAGTGTGGAGGGATGGTTTGGCAGTTTTTGTAATAGAGCTAAAACTATTCTGTGTAATCTCTTTGGGGGCTGATGTTGGCACTAGCCGCCGTGGCAGGGTCTAGATGCTACGCTGGCAACGTGCGTTGTGCCAGTTGAACATTCATGGGCTGGGGCTCTGTGGCTCAGTGGACTAAAGCAGATACTCTTGACTCATAATGTTGTCAGCCAGTACCACTCTAAATCTATTTGGCATGCTGTTCTTTGCATGTCCCTCCCTCTCTTTCCTCTTGTTCTCCACAGTGTACTGTCTAATAAGGGAGGAGGAAAAAAGGCATTTTGACCGCAGTGGAGCTGGTCTCTCATCCACTGGATGTTTTAATAATGAGCGAATAATGATGGTTACAGCAACACAAAACATGCAGCTTTAAAATTAGCATTAAATCAAACCTCTCTGACACAGTCTCTGCAAAACATAAACAATAGGCTTCCCAAAAGTCCTATTTTAAATGCATTGGACCACATTGTATTTTAATCATATATACCCCGTGTAACAGTGGTAAGAATTAAATTATAAATTGTACATTTATATTTTAAGCATTTACAGTATTAGGGCCCTGAGACACCAAGCTGACGGTCAGCCATTGGTCAGAGTTGGGCTATTGGTTAGTGTCTGTCACACTAGTTGGCCAGGGGATCACTGATTGGCAGTTCAGCTCAGTGCAAGAGAAAACTGAAGTGAGGAAAGCAAACAGACATCTAAAGTCAAGAGACGTGAGATTGAAACAAACTTGTTACATTAGGTAGAATATTTTTTTCAGCCATTGAGATCTGTAGCAGAAATGGTTGATAACTGTTTGTGTAATTATTCACTAGTGTACAGTGGATATTGTTCGTTCTCTTAACATCAAGTTGTGTTGTTTTTGTGCTAACTGGCTTACTGTCGTCTTGAATCTGCCCTGTCTTTCTTCTGTTTTCCCTGTTTAATAACCAATACTACTGCCATCTGGTGGTATGGAGAGTTCTTTCCTCACATGCTGGAGCAGAATGTACATGTTAGTTGGCCGTCGGCTGTAGTTTTGCAGGGTATTCAAGTGCAACGTTTTGGTCAAGACAGGCAACATGAGGTGATGCAAAGGTTAGCCTTTGTCAC